AAGAGAGGACTTCCATCCACTAGCTCACTCCTCAATTGACTGCAATGGCCAGAGCTGCGCCAATCGGAAGCCAGGAGCTAAGAGCTTCTTCCTGGTCTCCCATGTGGGTGTAGAGGCCCAAGGACTTGGGCCATCTTCTACTGCTTTCCTAAGCCATAGCAGAGAGCTGGATAGGAACTGGAGCAGCCAGGACTCAAACCAGCGCCCATTATGGGATACTGGGACTGCAGGAGGCGGATTTACCTGCCATGACACAGCGCTGGCCCCTCCATGATCTTCTGAAAGACTCCCTCATATATTCTCAAGAACAAGGAAAACATACTTATGCCTACAACAAAAAATTATACACAAGTGTTCACAGCAGCATAATTCATAATAGCCAAAAAGTTTAAATTTTTACAATGTCTATCATGGATCAATGGAAGAGTAGATAAAGAAGTATGGTTGAGGGATTTTTGCAGTGAGTAAAGTTGCTGCCTGCATTGCCAGCATCCCAGTTCTTATCCCGATTGCTCCAATTCTGATCCAGCTCCCCCAATACAGGCCTAGAAAAAGCAGAGGAAGATGATGCCAGCATTTCGGCCCCTGATTTCTACATGAGAGATCCTGATGAAGCTCCTGGCTTCAGCCTGGCCCAACTCTGGCCTTTGAAGCCATCTGGGGAATGAACCAATGAATAGAAGATGGATCTCTCTCTCTCTCTCTCTCTCTCTCTTTATCTGTAACTCTGAGTTTCAAATAAAATAATCTTTAACATAAATATGATAGACTGAGTCTATGGAATATTATTTGACCATGAAAAGTCACAAGAGACTTAATACTGGATAATTCCATCAATATGATAATCCACAATAGGGAAATTAATAGAGACAGGGAGGAGGTAGTCGTAGCTTAGAGCCAGGAGGGGGTATGGAAAAAAAAAGGTAGTTGCTAAAGGACATGGGTTTCTTTTTGAGATGATGAAAATGTTCTAAAATTGACTGTGGTAATGGTTGCAGATACCTGTGAATATGCTGAAAATCATTTCATTGTACACCTTAAATGGATAGCTTAAATGATATCTAAAAATAAAACTCAATAAAACTGTTCTTAAAATTTAAAAATGGGGCCAGCACTTTGGCATAGCAGGTAAAGCCATCGCCTGCAGTGCTGGTATCACATATGGATGCCGATTCGAGACCCGGCTGCTCCACTTCCAATCCAGCTCTCTGCTGTGGCCTGGGAAAGCAGTAGAAGATGACCCAAGCTCTTGGACCCCTGCACCCACGTGGGAGACCTTGAAGAAGCTCCTGGCTACTGGCTTCAGATTGGAGCAGCTCTAGCTGTTGAGGCTAACTGGGGAGTGACCCAGCGGATGGAAAAACCTCCCTCTCACCCTCTCTCTCTCTCTACTGCTCCTTCTCTCTGTGCGTGACTCTGACTTTCAAATAAATAAATAAATCTTTAAAAAAATTAAATAAAAATTGTTTCTCAGCATTGATGAAGCTGGAAATTTAAATAAATAAATAAAAGAGCTGCCTTCCCTTAGGATGCTCCAATATAGTACAGGGGGTAAGCAGTACTAACAAATATAAGCAATTATGTTAAAGCTCTTGTCTAGACATCCTAATCCTTTTTTCTTTATTTATTTTATTTTTATTTTTTGACAGGCAGAGTAGACAGTGAGAGAGAGAGACAGAGAGAAAGGTCTTCCTTTTGCTGTTGGTTCACCCTCCAATGGCCGCCGCGGCTGGCGCACCGTGCTGATCCAATGGCAGGAGCCAGGTACTTATCCTGGTCTCCCATGGGGTGCAGGGCCCAAGGACCTGGACCATCCTCCACTGCACTCCTGGGCCACAGCAGAGAGCTGGACTGGAAGAGGGGCAACCGGGACAGAATCCGGCGCCCTGACCGGGACTAGAACTCTGGGTGCCGGCGCCGCAGGCAGAGGATTGTTCTATTGAGCAGCAGCGCCGGCCAGATATCCTAATTCTTAAACCAGGAAATTTTTTTTTAACACTTAATATAAACCAGCCAGCTGAATGGTTCTGGAAATTAGCCTCATTTGCAAGTCGGTAAATCAAAATGTGTGCTACATGTAAGATTCATTTCTTCATTCCAGCAATACTAGACTGAGATGATAAGAGATAAGGAAATAGTAATCATTTACTTAAAAAACATCACCTTAGGCAGCAATGCTGGCACTTCCAAGGCTCCGTGTCTCCCTTGTTGCAAGTAATTTAAAATGGGATTTGTTAGGGTAAGGCTGTCTCTATGGCCTTCCTCACACCATTTGGACTTCCTTTGGAGATTTTTCCCCTTTCAAGTCTATCTTTAATTCAATTCACTCAAATGATATTTATCAATTGTATACTGTGGAAGTCATTGTATTGACTCTCAATAATAAATGATGTGCAAAAGAGACACAGCCCTTGTTCTCATGGAACTAACTGGCCACAGATAGAAATAAACATTTAAATAAATGAGATGTAGATACAAACACTACATAAATATGCCATATACAAAAACTGTACTAAGACAAGATAGAATAGTGATTAATAGAAGCTGGGGGAGGGGGACACTGTGCCTAGTGGGTAGAGCTGCCTCCTGCAGTGCCAGCAATCCCATATGGGTGCCCATTTGAGTCCCAGCTGCTCCACTTCCTATCCAGCTCTCTGATGTGGCCTGGGAAAGCAGTACAAGATGGCCCAAGTCTTTGGGCCCCTGCACCTGTGTGGGAGACCTGAAGGAAGCTCCTGGCTCCTGGTTTTGGATCAGCGCAGCTCTGGCTGTTGCGGCCAATTGGGGAGTGACCCAGCGGATGGAAGACCTCTTTCTCTCTCTCTCTGGGTCTCCTCTCTGTGTAACTCTGACTTTCAAATAAATAAATAAATCTTTAAAAAAATAGAAGCTGGGAGGACTTGGGGCATAGGGACAGATAGAGAGAGTTTGGATAATAGGTACCAAATCAGAGATAGATCAAAGGATTAATTTCCTAATGTCATACAGAATGGTGGAGGCATCTGTAGTTCACAACAATCCAGAATATATTTCATGAACAAATGGAAGAAAGGAGCTCCAAATATCCAATCACAAAATAATGTCGAGGAAGGGGAAATGTTGATTACCCTTATTTGACCAGAACACATTGTATACATGTGCTGAAATGTCATACCATAGCCCCAACGTTTGTACAATTATTGTAATAAATTTTTTTTAAGACAGAGTTACAGAGAGAGGTAGAGACAGAGGGAAAGGTCTCCCATCCACTGGTTCACTCCCCAGATGGCCGCAATTGCCAGAGCTGCGCCAATCCGAAGCCAGGAGCCAGGAGCTTCTTCCAGGTCTCCCACGCAGGTGCAGGGGCCCAAGGACTTGGGCCATCTTCCACTGCTTTTCCAGGCCATAGCAGAAAGCTGGATCAGAAGAGGGCATCCAGGACTAGAACCCAGCACCCATATGGGATGCCGGCACCTCAGGCCAGGGCTTTAACCCGCTGCACCACAGTGCTGGCCCCGTAATAAAAATTTATTTAGAAGAGAAAACAACAAGTTCAATAAGAGATAATTTGAGTTGAGAACCTGCTTTAAAATGAGAGGTCAAAGATGTCTTTGCTAAGTTTGTGGCATTTTACCTAAAAAGCTAAAGATTGTGTGTATGGGATTGAGGGAGAGAGTGTGTAAGAACAGTGATGTAATTAGGGAAAAAAAACTTCTGTGAGGAGCTGAACAAGAAAAATATTTCTTTTTCCAAGTTGTACATGAGGCAGTTTACCTCATTTAAAAAGACTTTCATTTAGAAAAAGAGCAGCAAATGAGAAATTCTGGAAGTGAACAGAGTGAATGTCAAATCCTGCAACAACCCCCATTATTTTGGATGGATGTAAACTTCTCATTATGTTGAGGGATTTCTGTGCTTATAGTGTCACAGAGAAAAAAAGATACAATAGGTCTGGAGTTATTTCATACTTTATCACTTTGCTAAATGGCTTAAAACCACATTTATTTATGTTAAAGTTTAGATGTTCTTGCAAGGCATAATTTCTTTCTTAGTTTTCAAAAGCTTGCATATAGTTTATTAACATAAATGTCTTGCATTTATAATTTGATGACAATCTCATGAATACTCTTTAGGTTATTGCAAAAGTGTGGGGTGTACACATGTATTCCTATAGGCAGGTATGTGAATTCCGTCCTATTGTGTCATGCATTAGGAATGCTAGGAGTAGACATTTTCAAATTATTTAAATTGTACATTTATTTGTAAGTTCTGATTTCATGTTCTCTGAGTAAAAGCATACAAAAAAGATTAAAAAAAAAACCTTGTTGCTTTTTTTTAATCATTTGTTATGATATAGACTTCAGCCAAGCCTTTACTTGCACCTCTCTCTTCCATATTTTGCATAGAATATGTTGGAAATGCTACTTAATGAAAGGAATTTTTTAATTCAAAAGCAGACCTGTTCCACCTTGAGACCAGTTCCAGCTGAGGATAGCACAAGTATCTGTGTCACTGCAATCCACATGGAATTCTGGGTTCATCATTCACTTTTCAATACTCTTCCAATAGATGAATAATTGCTGGAGATCTAGTGGTCAACATACTGACTACAATGAACAATATTGCATTGTACACTTGTAATTTACTAACCAGCTAAATCTTAAATCTTCTCATGATACACATATATACACACACATACACACAATGGCTTAGCAGTGTAGAACTAATGGATATGTTAATTAGTTTTATTGTGGTGATAATGTCACAAAATTTATGTATATGGCCAGTTAAATAGCATCCTAGACATTTGTACAACCAACTGATCATTTGACTTTTCCCACTCTATATCGTATGTTCTTCAAACCAGCTTTTGGGAACACCAGTTAGTTTACAGTGCATAATGTTTTCCAAAGGGTGGGGAGCTTTACGCAGTTTTGCCCATTTTTTTTTCTTGTGATGTCATTGGGGTGCCTTACACATACAGCTTGATTCCACACACAGAGCCATCCCCTGTCCTTATCAACACCTCACAGCCTGTGAACCTCTCAGTGTGCCTCTGCCCTTGGTCACAAACATGAGGTTCAAATTCCCTCTCATGGCCATAGGCCTGGAGGTGGCCATGATTGTTTTATTTTCATTATTTGTTCAGTATGAAACAGATCACAATACTACCTCACATATCAACAACACTATGGCAGCAGACATGGATGGATTCCTGAAATTATATCCTTGTGAGTAGGCGATTTACTTTTTATTAGGCAATTTGTGGTTCTTTGTTTTCTCATAATGTGAAATCTTTGAATATTGTAAGCTCTTGAACTCTTTGTAGAAGTATGCTAAGCATCTTTATTTCTGCTATGCTTTTGTTTGCTAATCTACATGATTAAGGTGTTTTGATGGAAGCTGCATCTATTAAAATATCAGGAAAAGAAGGTGAAAATTTAAAAAATTGGCTGTTTGCATGTTTCCTCTCTGCAACTAAATGATTTTTTTCTCTTGATCCCTAGTTCTGCACAGAATACAAATTTCACACCTTCCCCTAACCCAAAGAAAGTGGCTAAGGGGAACTTAAAAGTAAGAGAGGTGATCTGGATTTTATGTGGGGACCATAAGATATATAAAAAGGTGTATTTAGAATAGTGTAGAACTTAATGAAGTTTCAATTGAAAAGCGTGTACTCAGGATTTTATAGCACTCTGAAAAGAAAGCAATTTATTCCTTTGAGATGGAAAAAACTTGTGAGCATTTACCTAACACATTTGAAAAGCAGCATCCTTCCCTCAGAATAGTGACCAGGAAAAGGAGGAGTTTAGTTTCAAATTTAGGAAGATAGACTATGAAATAGTTAACACGATAATGCTAACTAACACTTTCTTATTATGAACCAGACGTATTCATTACCTCATTAATCCAGGAGGAATATGGTAGTGATCCCTGTTAGACAGGTTGCTTAACTCTTTAACGAAGATAATCTTATTTTTTAATTTAATAATTTGACACCTATTTTTCCATTCCTATTTTTTTTAGGGAATTAATGCAATGAGAAGTATTTTTATGGTGAAATTATGGCCTAGAGCTGCTACCTGACTTAGCAAAAATAAAAAGCTGGAGACTAAGGGCAAAGTTATGATCATAAATCTAATACTTGTATTCCAATCTACTTTTCTTTATACTGCATAGATATCCAAGAGGGTTCTTCATTAAATATGTCTTATACTTTGTATATTAAAGAACAATACAACAGAACAGAATTCGATTCAACTCTGTATGCTTGTGTACATTTTCTTGATTCATCCATTTGTTCCAATAAAATATTTTATTAAGTACCAAGCATGTGCTAAAGCAAATGTATTTAAAGATAAAAAAATACAGTTATTTTATTAAAAGATTCCATTGTCTGATTCACATATATACAAAGAGATGCAATAAATTTAAGAAATAAAATGCCACTGTGAATGGGATTTCTTTCTTGATTTCTCTTTCATCATTTGCGTATAAAAAGCTATTGGGTTTTGTATGTTGATTTTGTAACTTGCAACTTTCCTGAATTGGATTATCAGGTCTAACAAATTTTTGGTGGCATGTTCAAGTTTTCCATGGACAACATCATAACTTGCAAACATGGCTTTTTTGATGTCCTCCTTCCCAATGCTGATGCCCTTTATTTCTTTCTCTTCCCTGATTGTTCTTGTGGATACTTTCCGGTGAATGAGACTGGTGAAAGTCGACACCATTGTCTTGTTCCAGATCTGAGGGAAAATGCTTTCAGTTTTTCCCCATTCAGTATAATATTGGCTGATGGCTTGTCATATCTAGGCTTTATAATTTTGAGTTATGTTCCTTATATGCCTAATTTGTGGAGTTTTAATCAAGATGTGATATTAAATTTTATGAAATGCTTTCTCTGCATCTATTGAGATGACCATGTGGTTTTTGTTCTTCATTTTGTTGATGTAATTTATGATATTTATTGATTTGCCAATGTGGAGCCACCCTTGTATCTCTGAGATAAATCTCACTTATAGTGATGTATGACATTTTTGATGTAGAAAACCATGATCTAAGATTAATTTTTAATTTTAATAAAATAATATTAAGATGTTAAGAGCTTGATAATGTGCATAATTTGTGCTGAACTTTCTTAGTTCCAGTGTCAAAAGCTCAGGTATAGCCTCAATTCAGAATGTGGAATAAAAACTAAGTTGCAAGGGAGTTACTAAACATGTTCATTTCTTAATAGTCTACCAATAGATGAAGAATTGGTACAAATTACATTTGTAATTTACTAAAAGGATAAATATTAAATCTCCAAACCATTCATATGCACACACAAACACACACACACCCACACACACACAAATGGGGTGGTTATGTAGAAGTAATGGACACAATTAGCTTCATTGTGGTGATAAATTCACGATATATGCATATGAAAATATCAAATCATAGACTTTACGTATACATAATTATGTATTAATGGTATTTCAATAAAGCTATTTGAAAATAGACTAACAAGGAAATCATTCTTGTCACTTATTTTTTATTTATTAAGAAAATATTTATTAAGCTTGTAATTCTAGTCCAGCGATCTTCAAGGCTTTATGCTCTAGACAGAGAATAAGGCAGACAAAATGAGCAGAGTCCATGTCGTTATGATCTTTGTATCATATTTGGGGAAAATATACTATATACAGAAGATATACTATATACAAAGAGGTATGTGTGTGTATGTACATTCAGACAATAATAAAATGTCATGGTTACCCATGAGGTAAGATTGGGTAAGCATATGCATCTAGACAAGCATTACTGTCCTTTTAGTCATTCTCAATCAAAGCTATTTGAGAGAACTCATCAGTTATTTAAGGCATAAGTTGAATGTCATTAATTAACTTTTCTTGTATGTATCTAAAACAGTAATTAAACAAGCAAAGTTGGGGGGGTACATATAAATATGAGATGGTAACAGCAGACCACAATGTGAAATTTTACATGAAAAGTCATCTTCATTCATTCAAAATGCTGTTCATAATCCAGTGTGTATACAAACAAAAAAACTTCTTTTTTAAACATTTTATTGGAAGACGTTATACATACCAGGAAACCCACATAAGTTTATAGAAAATGAGTTTTTGATCCTCTGATCACACTCATAACTAAAATCCAAATTAAGAACACATTACTAGCTCCCAAAGAGTGCTCACTATTCCTCCCCTCCCCAATTCTTCTTTATTAACATGGGAAAAAGGCGTATGTTATCATTAACATAGGATGACTCACTGAAGCAGTATTTATATCTATATGAAGAATAAGATAACATTCATGAAATTATTATATTCTCTTTATTTACATTAACTACAAAAATAAGAGCAAATGTGTGTTATTTGTCTCTCTGTGTCTGGCTTACTTCATTCAGCATATTGGTTTCCAGTTGCATCTTTTTTGTTGCAAACATCAGGATTTCAATCTTTCGTTGGGTGCCATCTAGGTTGGTTTCATATCTTAGCTATTGTGAATTCAGCTGCTATAAACATGAGGGTGCAGGTAATTCTTTCATGTGCTGATTTCATTCCTAAGGACGTGTTCTCAGGAGTGGGAGAGCTGGCTCTTGTGATGGATCTAGTTTTAGTTTTCTGAAGCATCTCCATAGGGTTTTCCATAATGGTTGTATCAATTTACATTCCCACCAGCAGTGTATTGGAGTTCCTCTTTCTCCACATCCTCACCAGCATTTATTTTTTTGATTTTTGGATCACATTGAATCTGTAAATTGCTTTGTGTAGTATGAACATTTTGGTGATATTAATTCTTCCAATCCATGAACATGGAAGATGTTTTTTTCTATTTTTTGTGTGTCCCTCTATTTCTTCCATTAATGTTTTATAATTTTCAGTGTAGAGATTTTTTGAATATTTGGTTAAATTTAAAGGTATATATATAATAAATATAAATTTAAAGGTATTTAAATTTTTGTAGCTATTGTGAATTGAACTGGTCTTCTAAGTTGTTTCTCAGCCAGAGCATTGCTGCTACATAAGAATGTAATTGATTTTTGTGTTAACTTTGTATTCTGAAACTTTGCTGAACTCTCTTATGAATGCTAATAGTCTCTTAGAGGCATGGTTTTTTCCCCTGTATAAATAATTGTGTCGTCTGCAAGCAGGGATAATTTTATTTCTTCCTTTCCAGTTTGCATCCCTTTTATTTATTTTTCTTGCCTATTGACTAGGGCTAAAAGTTCCAGAATTATATTGAGTAATTGTGGTCAGAGTGGAAATCCTTGTCTGGTTCCAGATCTTAGTGGAAATGCTTCCTGCTTTTCCCTGTTCAATATGATGCTGGCAGTCAATTTGTCATGTATTGCCTTGATTGTGTTGAGGTATGTTCCCTCTATATAAAATTTTTTAAGTTTTTTTTATCATGAATGAATGCTATATTTTATCAAATGCTTTCTCTGCATCTGTTAAGATAAACCTTTTTAAAAAATTTTATTTGAAAGACAAAGTTACAGAGAGAGAGAGAGAAAGAGAGAGAGAGAGAGGTCTTCCATCTACTCTTTCATTCTTTAAGTGGCTGCAAAGGCCAGGTCTGGGCCAGAGAGCTGGATTGGAAGTGAAGCAGCTAGAACTTGAACCAGCTCCCATATTAGATGCTGGCACTGCAGGCAGAGGCTTTACCTGCTAAGCCACAGCGCCAGCCCCTCACTCAGTACTTTAATTTAAGAATTTAACTCATATACGTTCAAGGTTATTATTGATAAGTAATGACTTAGTCTTTTCCCATAAAAATTCCTTTTTTTTTTTTTTTTTTTTGCGGTCTACTTTGTTTTTTTACTAGGAGATTTTTTTTACCTTCACATTCTTTCTTGATGCTGATTGTCTTTCTCTATTACTGTGTGTCATGCATCCTAAATTACCATTTGTAAGGCTGGCTAGGCTATAACAAATTCTTTCAATTTTTGCTTGTCTTAGGAAGTCTTTATTTCACTTTTATTTAGGAATGAGAGATTTTCTGGGTAAAGTATTCTGGGTTTGAAGTTTTTTTATTTTTGTTTTGTTCTGTTTTGTTTTTTAGAACTTGGACTACATCTCTTCAATCCCTAGTGGCCTATCAGATTTCTGTTGAGAAATATGCTGGGGAGTTCCTTTAAAGGCAATCCGGCTTTTCTCTATTTTGCATATTTTAGGATATTCTCTTTAAATTTTACTTTTGAAAGTTTGACTATAATGTG